TATTGTGCTCCACTGTTTCCACCCTTAAACTATCGTTAAAAATACATAGCTACCAATTAAAATTGACAGACACTTGGTATTGATTGATGTGTTCCAGAATGTTCATAGGCAAGTAGTTAACTTGTTTGCATATGAACCCTGTGCAGTTAAATGGCTATTCATCATTATTTCTAGTTATTAGACTATTTACCTGTTAGGTCACCTTCGTGTCTGTCTTGTCTTTCTTTCTTTTTTCCTCGTCCAAAAAAGCGCTTCCATGCCTTTGGCAACCCAAGACCAATACCAACTAGCCCAGCATTCAGCTTTGATAAGTCACCTTCAAGTTGTGATTATTAGCTAAAATCTAACTATATTGTATTATTCCTGTTCTTATGGTTGAGATTGCCGTCAAGTGGCTCATATTGGTTTTTGGGACCTATTCTTGACCAGATTAGTTTCACTTGGCTGTGAATAACTACTGACAACTATTATTTCCACTTCTGAGGCGTTGGTGGTTTAGGGGTGGAATTAACTTCAAGTGGATATTATTGGCACCTGAAATATGTTCTTGGTCATATTGGCTTGAAATGGCTATACATGACTCTCAGTCGCTATTGGCATTTTATGCAATTGTTGTGTTCATAGATTTGATTGACTTCAACTGGCTATTATTGGCTATAGCACCTATTATAGATTCGGTTGGCGTAAATGGGATATTATTGCCTGCAGCATCAATTCCTGACCTATCGAGCTCGAATTGGCAACAGCCATTAGTGCTTATTAGTCACAATGTTCTCCTAGTTCCATACTTATGAATGAAAATGGCTTCAAGTGGCTATTGTTGGCAATAGACTTCTTCCGAAAATCACTGCGGGCAACACTGCGCTAGCGTTGCATGTTGGGAACTAGTTAGCCAGGAGCGGGCGAAGTGGCAGACCCTATGGTCTTGGTTTGGGTCAATGCATCGACGCGTGCGGCGCTGACGGCGAACCGTGCACAACCTGCCGATTATATCACATCCCGATGCAGTAAGTACTCCTTTAAGTACTCAGTACCAAGCTGTGCTGTGTAAACGATCTGGCCATGGTTACGGGGTTTCAGTGGTTTGAATACCAAATTCAAAGAACAAAGTCTGTCCTGGAACCGAACGAAATCTTCATTTCACGTGGGAATCAGCGCTTTTAGCGATTGTACGCGTACATGACAACAGCGTACACTTGTGCCAAAATGTTTCCCTCTGACGAAATGTTTTCCTCTGACGAAGCTGCAGATGAGATTTTGTAGCGGCCGCTTTTGATCTCCCAAGCAGTGTGCAAACAGCAGTGATTAATAGGATGGTGCGCAACCAATCGCGTTTCCTGTTGCATTGCAAACCTCTATTTGAACCTCGTAGTGCAAGCACTTAATAGTGAGATTCAGATGGTTTATAGATGCAAGCACGAGAGCCTACGAATTGTGTGTGTACTTTAGAACAGACGATGACCAAGGAAACACAGCCCTCATGCTAGTTGTCATAAAGACAAGATTGTCACCGATAAAGCCTTTATCACTGCTTAGGCTGGAACTGATGAGAGCGAATATTGGAGACAGAATCCTGCGATACATAAAAGAGCCCTATTATGACGTGGAACTTAACTAATTGTGTGGTCCGATTCAACGTTTGCCTTCAGTTGGGTGAGAGAAGGTCCGGTAAAATAGAAGCCATAATAAAACAACGCGTTGGAGATACGCGTCATGACATCCCCGGACCACTGGAGGCACTGCTCCGGTCAAGACAATCCGGCGGACATTTTGACCACAGAACTAGGATTTCAAGAGCTTCGGAGCATTTCTTTTTTGGTGGAAAGGGCCCAGCTGGCTCTGTCAACAATCTTCAGGATGGCCTAAAACTTCAGTGTTCTCGGAAGATACGCCGCAATTTGAAGGCAAGGAAAAGGCACATCTGCTGTTGGAAAAAATATCCAGATGTTCCTCATTGTTCGACGCTGGAAGTTACGAAAATTACCAGAACGTTCTGAGGATCACTGCCTGGGTCTTTAGGTTTGCTAACAACGCTGAGAAAAGAAATGACAAAATAGGAGGTAGAATAATTGCAGCGGAGTTGAAGATTAGCAGAGCAGTATTGGATTAGGCATGTACAGAACAAAAGGTTTCTGACGGATTATGCTCCGCGAGAAAAAGACAACAGAGATTAATGCGGGACTCGCGGAGCTTCATCCTTTCCTTGACGGAAACAAGGTACTGCTGGTCAGAGGACGTCTGCAGAGGTTGACAGAAAGTGTAGTTGTGAAACATCTAGCCCTATTACAGAACGACCCTAACTTTGTCATCAATCTAATCGTGATACATTGTAAGGTTAGGCACGGGAAAGTAGCAAGCGCGATCTGTTACTTACGAGGGTGGAACTGGATCATACGTGCTCGGCAACTGACCAAGAGGGTAATAAAAAGTCTGGTATGTTCATGGTTAAATGCAAAGCCCTATACTGTTCAGCAATTGGCTCCGCTACCGAATTATATAATTGAGGAGACAAAGACGTTTCAGGTGACCGGAGTCGACTTCGCCGGACCGCTGTACGAGAAGAGAGACGACGATGGCTACAGCAAAGCGTGCATCGTACTTTTCACGTGCGGATTCACTCGGGTAGTTTTTCTGGAGCTCTCAACGGGCCTCACTGCGGAAGCTTTCCTGCTTGCATTCCAACGGTTCATATGAAGAAGAGGCATTTCGCGGGACATTTACTCTCACAATGCACCAGCCTTCAAAAGAGCATAAAAAGACATCCAAAAGCCATTGGGTGCACTGGAGTATTCAAATCATACATTGCAAGTATTCAAATCATACATTGCAGAATACAGACTCAGCGGGAAGTTTATTGAGGAAGCCGCTCCATGGTGGGGTGGATGGAGGGAGAGTCTCATCCGATCTGTCAAGACAGCCATAAAGAAATTGTTGGGCAGAAAGAAGCAGCCTATCCTTCGAAACACTGACGACCACCGTTGCAGAGGAAGAATCAATGCTAAACTCAGGACCACTGACATATCTCTATTCGGGAGTAGGAAAGTTATCAGTCATCACGCCAGCACATTTCTTAGTTGGACAAAGTTTGACAGTTCTACCAGAAACAAGCTGGTAAAATAAGCGCCCAGTATTTGCAAAATACAAGAAAATAACTCGCAAGTTTCAGTACTGAAAAATGATCTTGGAATATTTTTGCAAACGCTGGAGGTCTCAGTATCTGTTGGTCAGCTCATTGATATCCCGTGACGAATACTTGCTCCATGAAAGTGGACGACGTAGTCATATTGGAAAATAACCAAGCTTCCAAGCCGTTCTGGGAACTGGGGAGAATTGTGGAGACATACCCCGGAGCGGACGGGATTGTTCGTGCCTGTCTCGTGAAGCAGAAAAACGTCACGCTCATAAAGGGACCCGAGCAAAAACTTATTTGCTGGATATTCGACCAAGTCAAATTCACGCTCGGGAGCATGTTACAACCGGACGAGGAAGAAGAAGAAAAACGAGGGAGCTCACGCTTTGGAGTTTTTTTTTGTTTTTTTTTTAGTCAGTTTTAAAATAAAAATTGAAGGATAAGGTTGCACCGACCGATATTCTAGTGTTTTTTCCATCATGTTGCTTGGTTCCTGACCGCAGGGTCTTAAGTGATAAGCGTATTCGCACTCCAAGCATGTCAACCCTGAATCACTATCTGACACTTCTTCATTACACTTTGGACGAACATCGACCATACTCCAACTATTGAAATTGACAGTGTCAGCAGCTTCAGTAGCGCCAACAAGGTGCAGACGTAGTGAATTTTGACCAACCTGCAAGGATAGCTGTCGCAATAAAGCTTACATTTTGATGAGCTGCCGCCACTGCTGTGTGAGCCTCAAAAAAGAGAAGCAGATCTTTTTCACCTCGGCCGCTGGTGACGCAGTCTTGCGACGTGGAACAGCCGCAGCCTTTCGACGAGAGCGCTTCTAGGGGCGATCGCTGCGCTAGAGACGTTGACGAACAGTCCGTGCTCTCTGTATGACGAGGCCTGAAACAATAAGAGTCGCGATAATTCTTCCAGTTCGGTTCGCTGCCGCAACTACTAGCTGTCAGCGTTTGCCCACGCTGCAGGTGTGGGCAACTGCTCGAGTGCTGAAACTAGGTTCGTACGAAAAGAAGCGCCTGCGCATCTGCCATGCCAACAACAGCGCCACCGCAACGCCGTGACGTCAGGACCGCGAGTGAGTCATGAATGGCTGCTGGGTGCCACGCAATCCAACCTCGGTTTCTTTCTGGAAACTAAACACCAACCCGCAAAGTCAATCTGGTTTTGTTTCGGCATCTCAGAAGTCACGTAAATGGCTACTGAGGACACGTATGGCTACTAAACCTACTTCACTGTTCCTTAAGACAATCGCCTATGCTGGGAAGAGCAATTTACGTCACCGGCCTCTGCATGACATCACCCTGTGCCAACGTAAACCTGTGTCAACATTATTAGATCAACTTACGTAACTTGCCTATAGACGCTCTGCTTCCACGAGCTAGTACTTCCTTTATCCCCCGCTCCGACGTGTCCCATCGCTCGATGCGCAACCGTTTTGGGGACAGCTGCTATGGTAACTACAGTTTGCTCTAAGGGATACACAAGTTTTGAAGCACAGCGTCTAGATGGCGCCCCACTATGGAATACAGGGTTCTGAGAGGCAGCCTTTAGATGGCGTTTCAAACGACTGATGGCGGACTTGAAGGGAGAAAAGGGATACAACCCGCCGCGTAAGTTTTTGAATGAGTGCACTCCTTTCCAGCACTTGACACCCAAGTGAAAAAGGTCGAGGCACCAGGCTTTGATTGAATACGTAGTTTCTAATATTTTGCAGAAAATAAAGAAAAAAAAACAAATGTAGTATGTTATTACTCGATTAAAGTCCTCATTTTTGAATAGTTTGGGCTTCAATAATAATAAAAACAAAACATGCATAACTTTCTGATATATTCGGTGACCTCTTCCCCATCTTTCACAGCGGAAGACGCCGAAGAAGCCGTCAATCGCGGAGTTTCAGCCATTCTCGTCTCTAACCACGGCGGACGGCAACTTGACGGACTTCCGGCAACCGTACGCATCATCAAATTAAATCATACTTCTTAACTCTAACCTTCTAATCTTTCTAGCTCCTTCATACCAAAATATATGTAAGGGTAAAAGTGATATTCATCTGTTTCTAGACAAGATAATAGTACGGTGCCTAGCTGCAGGAACGCATCTTCGACTGGTGCAGGTTTAGCGTTCTGTCCTGCCCATACGGAAAAGGTGGTCCCGAAGGTATAACCAATGACGTCACAGAAGCCGGCATATCAGGCTAGGGGGACTCTAGTTAAGGTAGGCGCAACTGCTAGATCGGGGATCACGGCACAGGGATGCCGTGCAATTGCTAAATATTTGCTGGGAATCTACGGGCCAAAGGGTTGTTTTATTTCCAAACTCAGGTCATAAAAGCTCAATAAGGTGCTTGAATAATTTATGCAAGGTATAAATGATTCCTTTTCTATAGCCACAAGTTTTCTTGCGATAGATGAAGTATTTGTTTAACGCGAAAAATGGTCAATTCTGCCCTCTTGGACGTTGCTGCGTGTCTGCAAACCCTGCTTCCTCCTCGACGTTTACGATTCCCGGAGCAAGAAGGAAGCGAGAAAGGCTACGCCAAGGCGTTCGTTGCTTGCAATATAGGAGGCGAGAGGAGCGAAGGCACATGGGACAACAGAGCAGGCGTCTGCTCTCGTGGTTACCGTGGTGTCGGCGAAAACGCATGCGCGACCAGTTTAGCTCAGACCGCGCAGGCAGTGCAGGCAACATTGGTGCATATCATTTTCCAGTCTCCTCCTTCAGGCACCGCGTCATTGAGTTGCAAACACTCTCCAAGATTTGAGTTGTGTCCACCCCAACTAGAGGCTCCCTATATCAGACTGTTGGATGACGCGATCCTACACTCTAAGAAAAAATGGAGGAAAAAAGTAACAACGGCGCGTATTCCTCCCTTCTACTGACGCGCCCCCAAGCGGACACCAGAAAAGAGGAGGAACGAAACGTTTTTCTCCTTCTCCAGGCAGACGGGAGAAAGCTTTCGCCCTCCCGACTCATCTTCTTTCGATTTCGTTTTTCGAGCAGCTCGCGCACGTTGTTTAATAAATAGCTGTTGAGTTGATTGAGCTTCAGCGGCAGCGAAGGCCGCCTGTAATTACGTCTTCTAGTCTAAACTTGCAGAACATTTCGCTTGCACTGACGTTTTTACCACTAATTTTATCAAACGAGCAAACGAAGCCGCTAGAAACAGCGAAGTTCCGGAGCAGTGCCAGCAGCGCCACGTACACTGGTACGATAGGTAGGATTCAGGGGGGTAAAGGTGGGTGAGGAGGAGTGGCAAATCCCGTGCGCCGACACCCGGGGTCCGAGTGAACGATCGCAAAACAGATGGACAGAACACGAGAGAAAGAAAGCAACGTTGCCATGGTAAACGCGAGGAGTGAAAACTCTCAGCAATATAAACAGTGATAATTTAACGTTGTAAACTAAATTCTGAGCTATTCTAACGCTTATAAAAAGCAATAAAGTCATCACGCTGCATTAACTTCCCTTCTGTCGAAATCTCGGAAATCTGGTGGTTGCGCAGTTTCGTATTACTCAACCGCGCCCACGCGCGCCCCACCGGCGAAGCCGGGTATATGGTTTAGTTTAGCGTTAACGCGAGGCCGTACACCTGCGCGCTATGCAAAAAGAAAGCTTCGAAAGGCACGCGAAAATCTTTCCACCGGTAAGTTCGTGGATTGTTGAAGTTCACGAAACTGCTCTGATGATGTAACCGTGTTTGGGACCCCGAGGGTCTGCCTGCATGATCCGCCGCTTGCGGCAGCTAGAATGTATGGGAAAATGGCGGACCTTTTCCTCTAGAGTTAGTATGTATGATCCCTATGGTAGGATTAGAGCACTATATAGCTCCTTCCTAGCAGAGTAGCGCAATCTAGAACGCCGTCTCTCGGCGACTAGTGGCGAACGCCCGGAGGTTCCAACTGCGGTCAGAAATGCATGGAGAACGTGAGAAAATCGTTGTTTCTTCAGTATTGTGGGGATGTACGGAATGGCAATTATTTTTGACATAATAATGGAACATTTTAGAATAATTTGCGCTAAGTTTTGTGCCACGCAAGGACGTAACTTTTAAAAAAAATTTGCCTGAGCGGCATCATGCAGCAGACGACACGGCGACGTCACACCATTCACGTGACCCGCTCCGGCCAACCCGAAAAGCCCATCTCCGCTGCAAAAAAAATCGTCTGCTTCAAACGCCATTGACTTGGAAATTGCCTTCTCAAAATTTGCACACGCATCCGATATTATTAAAACTTTGATGAAGTGCTTAGTGCTTTACTACCTTTACGACAGACTAGTTTTGAAAAGTGTGAACTCGCCCTACATTTTTTAATCAGCCGTGTTGTGTCGATCTCCATGTATTCTCCCATAGGGCGCGCCGCCTCCTGGAGCGCTGAGTACCACGTGACTCGCGCCGAGCCGCTCTGTCGGCCATGTTGTCGGCAAAACACGGGGTTCAAAGGATTGCGCTATACTCTGCTCCGTAGGAGCTATATAGTGCTCTAGGTAGGATGGCCGTCTCCGGATTGCGGGACTCACGCCAGCTCACGCGGCACGGAACTGCAGTAGCGAAACCACGCGGAACTGTGTCGACGTTTTCGACGTTATGGAAACCGCAGGAACTGCGTCCAAGGCAGGCAGGTTTTGCTGCCGGCTGCCTGGGTGCTTTCCATGCTGAGTTCGGTTCTGTTTTCCGATGCCGAGTGCAACCGGCTTTAAACGTGGTTGTGTATTTATGCGTGTCAGCAACATAGCTGCAACATCGTGATGGCAGTGTTGTGGGTTGTGAACAGAAGACTGGAATTATCGCCGATGTGACCGCGTGTTCGCGTATCAGTGGTGTAACAAGATGAGATCGTTAACTGTCGGACATTGATGCCTCTGGTCGGGCCGTGATCGGAGGGGGCGGGGTGTCGCAGGTTGACATTCCGCTTAACATTAAAAAGTTTAATACCACTTGAGGGATTACGTGCAATCGATCAACGTACGGATAGTCATGTTGGAAAGCTGGTCTGAACAGTATAAGCTCCTATCGTACAGTGGTTAATCTGACTGTCGGTTGTCTCGTCCCCGAGAGCGATTGCGCTCTGGGGCAAGGACAACAGTACGAAATCGTGACGGAAAGTACGTATATTTAGAGTGGGGAATTTTAGCATTAAAAAACAATAGTAGGTAAAATCGAAAAAAAAAAAAAAAGCTACCCTTTATTTTGCTGTTTAAATATACTACGGTTCCTGGAGAAACTGCCCTTCAAGTGGGGCGCTGGGATGAGCTCTAGAAATTTTCGGGCTCGCCACGGCGTAGCTCCATACACTTAACACCTGCCGCAAGTCGCGGCTTTGACTGCATTCAAGTTGATCGAAAAGCGATTTCTCTGCCCGCGAAGCATCACTTCCAGCTGAGTGAATATCCGCTCTAGAAAGATTAATTCAAGACGGCAACTACAGCTTTGCGCGAACAGCACAAATAGGAAAACAAACACTACAATAGAAATACAGGCTACGACGTGCCGTGCGGGGAAACAAACTCATGGCTTCGAACCGCATTGGAGCGGCTTGATTTATTGGCTTTCAAATAATTACGGCATAATCGAGCGTTTGCTTTTTAATAAGAGATTCATCCCCTGAGCCATTCAAAATACTTTCAGAGGTATGACATTGCTGGGAAAAAATCAGCATGCTGGGAATAATTTTTATTGCTTATTCAGTCACCGAAAACTTCTGTCCGTTCAAACCGACCAGTATAAAACCCGGGAACTCAGAGCACGGGTGTAGTGTTCGGGTTAGTGTTGTGTTCTGTTCTGTTGATATTCGTGTGTGCCGTGTATGTGCGCAATGTATTTTCACCTGATGCTTCTAATAATCGCAATGTGTGTATCGTGTGTATGTAGTAGAGGAGGATGCCCAAGCGGCAATAGTGGCCTGAAAAAATCGAATTATTTTTTTGTAGAACATGAATTGGGCGGTACCTAGCGCCACCTAGCCTAGCTACTTGCAATTACTCTGCTTGACCCCGCCATCTGGTAGCTAGCGATTTAACCTCCTTTCACGCTACGCGTTAAACGGCGGCGTTGAGTTTGTTATTTCGAGAGCGGCTTTTGCTTTCGCGAATTGAGTTTGCCCTTGTCCGTGATGTGCGGTTGACGAAGGAATTGTGACTCGAGGAATACCAAAGGTAAGACGCAAAGTGCGCGAAGTAACTGGGTATCGGTTGTCTCCGTTTAACATCGCAGTGCTGTCGACGAGAAGACTGAGCAACTGTTTTTGAAACGCAAGTTCCCGTACCTGTGAGGGGAATCTGGCTTCGGAAATAAACACAGTTCGCTGAAGCTCGTGTTACGCTTTGATATACTGCTCCTCTCGTCCCGTACAAGAGACGTAGTGTCCTCGTCAAGCCTTATTGGGCTCGATTTGCTCGATTCGGGGCCGCCATAATGAGATGCAGGCGACGGAGGAACTAGTTGCTCCCCAGCTTCAGGGACGAAAGTTTCTCCCTTTCTAAAGGAACACAGGTTACGAGACCGTTCCTCCCCTAAGGGAGGACTATCCATACCCTTTTTTCTAAGAGTGTAGTGGTTGGTAACCCAGGTCCCGGCAGAAAGCAGGAACGCGAGTGTCGCTGCCATCGTGTCGTTCGAACTTCTAGCCACTGCAGCTTCCGAGGACTGCCAAGCTCGAGAGCGACCGAACCTGCAGCACCTGTGATGTCAAACGACGGAAATCGAGGGGCTAGTTTTTAGAACACGACAAACGCTCCAGTCGGAAATGCGTTCCAGGCACCATCATATGTCATCCATCCACATCGCGGCGCATCTTGCAGCCCGCACAACGGAACGTCCTACTGATGCAGCGTTGCCAGATTGGAAATTGGTCGCGACATTCTACTCTAATCAATATTTCACCAGATTTCACAAGGTACAACATTTGGTTGTGGTCTGTTTGCAGATCGAAGTACTCCCCGAGGTTGTCAGGGCTGTCCGAGGTCGGGTCGAGGTTTACGTGGATGGTGGAGTCCGTCGCGGCACCGATGTGGTCAAGGCGCTGGCACTCGGAGCCAAGGCTGTATTCGTGGGACGCCCCGTCTTCTGGGGCCTGGCTTACAATGTGAGTTCCGTGGCACTGTAAGAAATCTGGGATCCGGCTGGGATCAATGCGAGAAACAGATCTAATTCGCCTCTCATGGAGGGGGCGGAGAAACGCGAGCGAAGAACGCGGTTCGTCTGCTACGAAACGCCATTTGCAGACGGAAATGAAAAAAAAAAAAAAAAGACATCGTACGTCGTCTCCTAACAGACGGAAAAAAAATTAAAAATCTTATCGTTTGCTACAAAACGAGCGCGCTGCGGCAAAGTGAGATCGTACGCAGGCTGCAATTGTAAAGGTCTTTTATTTCATGCATAGCGTTATTATAATGTACGCTAGAGGTTCAACTGGCGCTAGTGTCTATGCGACGTCCGTGACGCTCATTGAAGCAGACAGCAACCACTCTAATTTTGCGGTGCTCCTGTGCATTCCAATGGGAAAACGCGCGTGAATTTTGTCTCTTCGCCGGAAAATAACACGGAACACTTTGGTTATTTCCGTCGTACCGAATAGTGTGTACCTTGACTAACATTGTGAAAGTGCGATTGCTTTAGTTAGCGCATTTTCCTTCATTAGTGAACGATGTTTTACTTCGCTACATTTCAGTCCCAAACATGTGTTCCGCAGCAGGTGCGTAAAAACTAGCGACGATTCGATGCAAAATTCCAATCGAAAGGAATGTAGAGTGTGTTCAAGGTTCGCCAGAATTCCGGTGACGCTTATATATTGCTAACATGCCTGTCCTCTCACTATATGAAAATGACCCCGTCGTGCATGAGCGGATAAAAACATTCACAACGTAAACATTAAAGTACGTGGGCTGTGAAAGGCGTCCCTTCGTATTGCTTTCTCTGCCGGGCACCTTTAAGCATGCGTTCAGACACTTGTTCTCTAAGATTTCGAGCGTGCGGGTGATATTCTGAATGTAGAACAAGCACCTTTTACTTATTTAAAATCGTAATATATTACGTGACCTTCAATTAATTTTGATCGTAAATGCACTGGTAGTTACTGATCCAGTGTTACTGCGTACTTCTTGCCGTCTCTCTTAGCTTTCCAGATGTCCTTCCTTTGTTTGGCACGTATATCCCTCATGCTGAAAAGCGCCGACGTCGTGTTCGCGCTAACAGTGTCCGACAGTGCACATAAACACACGTACGAAGCCGTTTTAGCACCGTTTTTAACGCAACGAATTTGAAAGAAAAACGCCGTAACTGACCAATCCTTTCGTCGGCCAGATTGAAAAATGTTCCAATCTATCTAGTACGCACGAATTATTCCGGATATTTTCTTTTATGGTCGAGCGCAGGGAGAAAATGCACTCACTTTTTCCCATAGAAATGCATTACCGGAAGTCAATTTTCGACTGGTTGCTGTCTGTTTCAATTTGCGTTAGCACACTAACGCCACTTAAACCTCTAGTGTAGGTAGATCATATTAACTCTATGATTTCATGTTGCAAGCTATTACAACCCTCGTTTCGCTTTGAAAATCTCATGTTTTTTTGCTGTACACACAAGGTGACATCGAAAGGTGAATGAAAGAGTAAGGTAAGACAAGTACATCAGAGAACGCAAAGCAACTCTCGCTACCTGTATGTTTATGAGACTGCTTTCAGCGAAAAATTGCCCGATTTTGAATTCGCGAACGGGTCACAAATGTCTCATTGGTTGATTACGAGTAAGTTCTGACGTCACGTCCAATCAGCAGTCAAGAACGCCCTCGCCCTTGACCAAAATGGAGCCAATCGCTGCAATACTTGGACGTGATCGGTGAATTACGTGGCTTTATAACATGTTTAGACCAAAAAAAAACTGTTTGCGCCGTGGCACTGAGAGTAGTGAAGCGCAATTCTCAGCACCCCAGCTCCGGGCATTTTTTTTTTTTTAATGCAACAGCGTTCTTTATCCACCATCCCCCTTACGGATTTTTTTAACTTTCTGGCATCCTAATGCCCAGTAGGTATGCACAGAAGAACATTTCAGCTCACATTCTCACATCCCTTCACATTCGCTTCCTCTTCGAAGGATCTGACGACCTTCACGTCGTCCTCGACGTCGTCCTAGAGGCCTTCTTACACGTCGTCTTTGGCGTCGCCCTTGACATTTTCCTCGACGTAGCCCAAGACGTCGTCTTGACGTCGTATTTGACGTCGTTATCTAGGACCTCATCCTCGACGTCGTCCTTGAGGTCGTCACAGAGGTCGTCCTTAAGATCACCCTAGGGGTCGGTCTAAACGTCGTCCATAAGGTCGTCCTAGAAGTCCTCCTCGAGGTCGTCCATAGGCCGCGTCTTTGATGTTGTCCACTACGACGTCTGCCTCGACGTCATCTTAGACGTCGTCCCTGAGGTTGTCCTGGACGAATGCTATCGCAATTCATAGATAACCAACAGTAGTGGTTTCTGCAACATTCTCTTGGGTCGAAACATCTTAGCCGCCCTGTCGTTCGCCGGGCACGCTCCGTTGATTGTAGCTATTGGTTTCACCAGGTTCTTTGGGAAAGGGGGGGGGGGGGGGGGCAGACGCTCTGGATTTCTTAAAGGGAGGGCTCCGTCAACATTCTGAGATCAGGCTCGTTGGGAGCAGAAGATTTAAAGACGACGTGAGAATTTAGCAGTGTCGAACAGGCAGTCGACAGTGAAACGACAGCAAAATAAGATTCCATACCCTGAATGTTTGAAGAGATCATGAAAGAAGGTTAGGATGACGTGGTACGAATGAAGACATAAGAAGGAAAACCACCACTGACAGCTTGGAAGCACAGGTATTGACTTTCACTTAGGGTTCCGTGTATTCGAATGAATCCAAAAAATTAAAAATAACACTCACCGGAAAATGTTTTGTTAATTGGAATTTATTCAAAACAACAATAACTTTCAATGTCACAACGACAAAATGAAGAGAAAAAAATACTGTTTTACGAATAAACTTTATAATAGCGCAGGGTCAGTGATACCGAGTAAATGCAACTTCAGTTTACTTTGAATTACCGAACTACTGACAAAAAGGGTTTGCCTTTCAGCTCGTTAAAGCTGCTTAGAAAAACGGGTCCTGCTACCTGGACTTTGTTTATTTTGTTTTTGAATATTAAAAGAAATATTGCAAACACTGTAAATTAATATTTGCATTGCAGAGAATCGGGAATCTGACAAAAAGAACCCAAAATTTTCGGCAAAAAATAAAACAAACTTTCGAGACAAAAAAACTCCTAATATCAAGAGAAATAAACTCGGGAAAACGAAATACTATGCATAATGTTAACGCTTAATTCTCACCTCGTCATTCGTCTTCCGGCGTACTTATCAGCTGACGTGTTTTTTGTAATGGATATGTATCGGAACGATAATAGAGCACTCTAGCCGGACTTTCCACGCCCAATATTGCTTAAGTTGTCAGTCACTAGGGAAAAAGAAGAGCAAGAAATATAAATATTAATTCCAATGGTGAGCTCGACGTGAGTAATGGCAGAAACTTTTTTGTTACAGCAACACAGAAGAAAGAAAAAAAAACGGAACGATACAGTATTACCAAACCCTCGCTAAATATAGACCGACACGCAGGTTTGACGTCACGGAGCTGGGGCGGCACTGCGATCGCGCCGGAGCCGTATGGTGTGTCCAGAAGGGCGCACGTTTTGCAGGGGCGTCATAGCATTTCAGCATGCCATAAGGCTGTGTAGCCGTTAACTGCACCGAAAAATACACCAAAAGTAGCGGAGTGAGTTTCCACAAGTTCACGGCGGACTCTGAAAGGCGCAGAAGGTGGATCATACCCTTGGATCGAAAAGTATGGTCGCCTCGCGCGAACAAATTTGTGAGGCAATCAATTTCATGAAGCCAAGTATTGCTTCCGTTTCAATGTTTGTCCCGAGGCTTGCTTATGTGAAGGGAAACCGCCGTCTGATCGAAACCACCCAGATTTTGTTCGCACGGTGTTCGCGTACAAACCATCAGCCAAGCGCTCGTCGGTGGCTCGCTACGCCCGTGCTGCTAAGCGGAAGGAGGTCGGCGGCAGAACGGACAAAGCGTTACCGTTTGTCGTGCCTTGTGGTCCTGGGGGTAAGAAAAATATTATACGTTCTCTTGAAGGCCGCTGAGTGTACATATTCAATTATTAAATACACTTTCGCAGACCCACAGTCTGCTTATCCCGCCGGCAGCGCGGGAACTCACTCGAACCGTAGACCTCGAGAGACCTGTACGCCTGTATCGTGTCGGCCGTGAACTGGCTTGGCGATAAAACTAAATAGACGACGACGTGAGCCATCGACGTCGGTGGCAGCAACTTCACGTCTGAATTCCAGCAGGCCTTGTTTACGGCGTACGCACTGTCGAAGGCGACGCCGTCCACGCACAGTTTGTCTCGATACCGCTGCCGTTCAGGCTCAGGTAGCGAGCTTAAATAGTCGGGCATAACATTTGACATACATTGGCGGGAAATGCAACTCACAAATAAAGTTACAAACATCTCTACAATGTCAACAACGGGCGCAGGCCACACAACACAATGGCGAAAACACGGGGAACCTGGCCGTTTTTGCTCAGATAGCTTGTGCACATGCGCGACCTTCCGGCCGTGTTGTAAACAAACCCGCGCCGCGTGTCGGACTATAGGCGTTTGCAAGTAAGGCCTCTGGGCGCTGCCATCTTGGTGCTGGTGTGAATAGTCAAGCATTGCTGAGGCCATGGGTACGCCTCAGCAATGCTTGACTGTCAGACGATCTACCCACACCAGAAGCAAGATGGCAGCACCCAGAGGCCGTACCTGTAAACGCCTGAAGTTAAGCCCTCAACAAGGGTAAGAGATATTCTTTAGCGGACACTCGATCGTTTGACTACTACACCATAACGTGGAGAAACATTAATCACTTCTTAGATACAAGCTGCACACTGTCACAAGTATTTACTCGTCCACGTCACGATTCTACATCCTCATAGGCGAACAAGTGGCCATTTTGTACGTATTGGTAATAAACGTATTTACTGACGTTTTAGAAGCCTCATATAGTGTTAACAGTTTTGATCGTTTTCCGGTATGGTAAAGAGTGTCCTGCACGTGATACGTGTCCTGCACGTGATGCCCCCGCACAATGTTGGTTGCCTTTTCAGTTCGTTCTTGTCTAAACAAAAATACAGTGGTTCAAAGTGTACGCTGCAAGATAGCACGTGCTCAACAGCAAGACCACCGCCATGAGAGCTGATGTGACGTCAGTGCGAGTCAAGCATAATTTTTTCGAAAATTAGGAACGATTGTCCATCAGCTCAATAAACGACGTTTTGTTAGGTGCCTCTCACCGGACAAGTGTCAGCAGTCTAAGCAAATCTGACAGTCATGTTCAACGGCATCACCGCATTCCCATGTTGGGAACTGAATTCGCCGAATTTCGTAAAAGCTGTCACTAAAGGCCACTTCAAAAATAAGTCCCTACAGGATAGCATCGTACCGTAGTCTGAAAGTAGCGGGCATACTGCTGGCACATTGTACGAAAGACAGTATGCAGACACTAGAGAGTTTTAAGGAACTGTTCTTGCCTCATCCGATACGCTGCGATGGGCCCTCCGGTACGAACTGCGCATGTGTGAGTCTTCTGCGGTACCACATGCGCCGTTCGTACCGGAGGGACCATCGTACCGTATCGCATGTGCAAAAACGGTTCCCTGAAACTTACTATTGTCTGAAGCGTGTTCCTTCTTTGCGTGATGGCCCTGTCATATTGATTATAAGAAGTTTCTGCACACATGTAATCATACGTATGTATGAAGCAAATAGGCTTCAAACATCCTTGAGGCGTGTCCGCAGAATACACCTTGTGGTAAACCCACGGCTTTGCTTCCACGTGCCCGGTGCCGAAGCCCGCATTCCCCGCCGTTGTGAACACTCGTCGACTCCTCCAACGTCTCCAGTGCCAAAGCCGACATTCCCTGCCGGTGTGGGACCCTTCGAACTCCGCAGCGTTAACAGCGCCGAGGACGGCATGCCCCGCTTGCCTACCGGTGAACACCCGTTGAGGTTCGCGTTATGGTACCGAGCCGGGATTTCTCGCCAGAAAAGCGCCGCGACGCTCGCCCATGACCTTATAGGAGCATGATGTTCTCGGTGGGAGTGGGAGGGAACTAGACAAAAAAGGGGGTCGGGCTGACTATATAAGGAGATAGCAGGCGAGGGTCTAGAGAGAGTCTTCACTGGGAGTCTTTATTTGAGTGTCTGAATTCGAGAGTCTTCATTTGACGGTCTTCACTTAGGGTCTGGAGTTGGGAGTTTTTGAGGGACAGTCTCCATGGGCGCTTTATCGGGAGGCTTCATCGGAGATCTCGAGTAGAGATATTCTCGACTCATAAATAGCCTTTAGTAGAGGGTCTTGATTCATGGAGGGATCGAGCCGTTCAGCTGCAGCCGCCGCCAAAGGAGAACGGGACTTGGGGCGACGAAATGTGAGACGATAATCTGTTTGACTGGACTATAGCTGGCTTGCATATACTTTGGGAACGGCTGTAGCGTGGCTTGATCGAATCGGACGTATAGATAAGGTCAAACCATCCTACAACCTCTGTCATCATCTCTGCAGTGAACGCCGTGTCTTTCGTATACGATGTATGAGCCGGCTTAAATAACGAAATAACGATTCGCGTGACTCGTCTCCCAGCTGCAGAGGAGACTGACTGTCTAAGATGGCTTCCCTTGGCATAAATGGAAATCATTGGCGCAGTGAACTATGCATGTCCATTGTCGATGTAAATATTTTCAATACACTTTATTTGCCGCATCCTCACCGCGTTTTCCGGCAAAAAAGAACACTAGAGTTTCCGGGAGGTTACAAAATGCAGAATGGAAAGCAGCTCGAGCCCTCGCCACTGCCAACACCCATTCAGACATTATCTCTACTCTACTCTGACTACACATTTTTTTTTTGCAAAGTGTAGCATATTTGTTTAGGAACATCTTCGTCCGTCTGTAGTCATCCCCCGACACATGCAGGGTCCTGTCTCTAACACACACCGACAGATACTTGAATAGTGAGCGTGACTTCTTTCACGTTTTCAGGGTGAAGCCGGCGTGAGGCAAACTCTCTCGATACTTCGAGAAGAGGTGGACCGTGCGCTAGCACTGATGGGTAAGTCATGTTTTCGGCCCCTAAGAGACACCTTTCGAAACCTTATCAAGCAACATTGGTGTCTCCATCCCTTGAATACGAAGCGTTTGATTGAACCACAACGGTGATACAGGCCTCGTGACCACTGCATGCTCAGAGTGCGTGCCAAAAGAATGGCGGACCACGGCTGGGCTATAGATACACGCTCGCTGGCGTGGACCTGGGGCCTGCTATGCCAGCTATTCTTCGCGCCGTGCTGGAAATACGACATTCGGGTGAACGTTAATGCTGAGCATGAATTCTTAGAATCACTAGAAAAAGCATAATTACTGCGTTGGTAAAATACCCGCATGCTAAAATTCGGCGAGGTAATACAACGGCACAAAAATCGCAGAATTTAACAATTCAATTCTTTATTCATTTAATTACCACCGAGGCAATGCTTCACTGGGGGATTAGAGGACCTTATGTGAACACTAAAAGGACGTCTGAGAAGATTAGGTCAATGACGCATGAATAGAGAGTTTTAGAATAGCTAAATTGTTCGTTAAATTTAGCGGGAAATTTATCGAACATTTTCCTGCTACATTTGGCGGGAAAACTGAATTGGTGTTGAGGTCGCGTGATGTCTATTTCCCCGCTAAATATAGAGGGGAAATTTCCCCGCTAAATTTAACGGAAAAGTTCTCCCGCTAAATTTCACGTGACGTCAAATTCATTCAAGTGACGTCACCAAACGTCACGAGGGTAAAATTTACCAGTAAACCTTGCGGAAAATTTTTCCGCTAAATTTAGCGGGAAATTTTTCCCGTAAATTTAGCGGAAAATTTTTCCCGAAATGAGTGGCGTCACGTGTGACGTCACGAGGGTAAAATGTTCACGCTAAATCTGGCGGCAAAATTTTCGCGCTAATTTAGCGGAAACATTTTTCAGGGTTGAGTGGCGTCATCTGTAACGTAATTATGGGAAACGTCCCATAATGCAACGCGCGGTGACGGCGACGCCGCTCAACCTTGTAACGGGCGCCTAAGAGCTGTGCTTTAAAAGTCAGAAAGAAAAACATTGCAGATAAGAGGCAAGAGAAATCAACTTTAGCAATCTGCAGGCCACAAAAACAGGACACAAGAAACAGGGGCTGGATAACTCGCGGGGAAGCGATTTATTGTTTTAGGCGAGAACGGGAGTGTTAAGAACACAGACATATCGGGCTAAACTTCAAGACATGTGCCCATTATCTGGCGTATACCATAGTAACAGCGATACACTAGAACATGCGGTTTTGAAGTGCACGGGGTTTCGTCCTGCCTCTCTGAAAGGTAACGGGAAATGACGGGAGCACTGGGTTTTGCTGGTGAAGATGAGAAAGAAAGAAGAACAAAATATTGCAATTTCAAAAATAAGGCTTGAGCGTTATTGGATCTTAAGAAGCGTGAATCGTGGTAGTACAAAAAATAGGTGGGGTCGGTGAATTACAGAGGTACCAAAGAGGATTCTGAAATTGTCTGTTCTTGGTCATAACTGATTCTACGAGCACTAAGCATCCTAAAAATAAAAAAAAAATAAAATGCACTCGCACAGCGACGATTGTCTATGCAAAACGTGATGAAAGGTCTGGAAAAGCCCCTTTCTGGGCGAATTTTTCGGCTGATTAAAGGAGTGTATGTCCTGACCTTTCATCACGCTTTAATAAGAAAATCGGCGTTGCATAATTGTAATTTTTTTATGCTTAGGGTCCTTAGAATCATTTATGACCAAGAACATACGATTGGGGAATTGTCTTTAGTGCCCCTTTAACAAGAAACTGAATATATATTAAAAAAAAAAAAAAGAATTTAAAGCGGAGGGGTGCATACATGTTTCTAGGCTCGATGACGCAAGCTACCACACAATACAAAAGGTATATCCAATATTATCCATCCATTCATCCATCCTGTAATAGAATATATTCGCTTGCTCGAAATGTCGTCTTCACAATGCCTCGCAAAAAGAAAAAAAGAAGAGGACTGAAGTAGACATTGCTGTACAGATTGGCAGCGGCTCACTGGGGCTCAGTGTGTTCATCGTGCCAATAAAACTTTTTTTTTTTGTTAAGACCGGTTTACAATTACATTTTGGTGCTCAAATAAAGCAGTCAGCGTTGCATCAGCGCTACTGTCAGCGCTGACTCGGCGCTTAGTTAGTGCTGCATTGTGTGTGTAAGCGAGAGGCGGCCAGGCGGGGCAATATACATAAAGTTTCCGAGACTTTCCGGCCCGGGTAAATAAACCATATATGCATCGCAGAAAGCTCAAACTCCGTGAGAATGTGACTTCTAGCAGTTGGGATAGAAAAACGTAAAAGTTTGAGAACGTGACGTTATCTGGATTAAAAGATAACTGCGAAAAACGAAATTTATCCATCACCCGACGTCCTCCTAAGCCTAATATCGCCAAAACAAGAAGTGATTTTGTGGACGTCTGTACCATATATTTTAGTGGGAAAAACAAAAAAAAACTTGTCAGCAAAAAAAGAAAACAATCCCCGCTTTCTTGCTGACGAGTGTTTTTCACTTATATAAATCCCAGAAGTGTCCACAATCTCAGTTCTTGTTTGTAAGATAATAAGCTTAAATGGGCGATGGCTCATAGAGACATTCTGCCTTTCTGAATAATATGTTGGCCCAGGTAACGTCATGTCCTCGAAACTTTCGCATTCCATCCTAACCGCTAGCTTCACATTTCCACGCGGTTTGAGTTTTCTGCTTTGCTTAACTTATTTAGCAGGGTCGAAAAACACTGCTTTCTTATCTCTGGAACTTCCTGTCCATTAGAGCTATGATATAGCGCTTACAAAGCACAAAGTCAGAGAGAGCTTCTATAGCGCCGAGTTAGAGCTGCAGCAGCTGCCTGGCGCACGCAGCTGCCTGGCGGTATTTTTTAGCAGTTCTGAATGTTTGGAAAATATTAGGGATGTCGCGAACCACCCCAAGTTCGATTTCGAAAGGTTTCGATATTTGCGAAGCGAACTGAGGTTCGATTTCGAAACATTTTGATATTTTCGTACCGACCAAGGTTCGAATTCGAAAAATTCGCAACTTTCGATCACAGTGGAGTGTGGAATTCGAAAAGTTCGAAGCTTTCACGGTTTCAAAAATTTCGGATTCGAATATTTCGAATATTTTTACTTCAGGTTCGATAAATTCGAAGATTTCGAAATTCTTTGGAAATAAAATTCAAAAACTTCGAACGCTTCGAATTTTTATAGACATGAAGTTCGAACAATTCGAACATTTCGAATTTCTTTCTGCATAAAGTTCGAAAAGTTCGAAGGTTTCGATTCTCTTTTAACGCTAAAATCGAAAAAAAAAAAAAAAAAAAACTTCGAGGATTTTGAATTTTTTTCTAGTCGAAGTTTTCAAAGTTCGAAGTCCGGTTTTCAAGTTCCTCCACAGTTTGTTTCAAATGACGTTTTCACGACTCACTTTTTACAAAATCAAGTTTAGAAAAGTTAGGGTGTGATCTAGATTCTGCGAAGTTGGTCACGCAGTTAAATGAGGCGACGAGTGTCCCGGATGTGCTGGAATATTTGCCAGTGCAGAGTGACGTGTGACCATGGTTCAGTAATCGTGACCGCCAGCCCAGGGTGGAGAAGGGGGGGGGGGGGGGGGGGGAGTCTTTAACCTGCATCACGCAGTAGTGATCACACGAACACACTGTTTTACGAGACTCATCCAGTTTGAAACGTCCAGGGGCGGGCAGGAGGTTGAGGCTCAGAAAAACCTTGAAGCGACCTGGCAAACTACCTCGCCACCCCTTGCACGCTGGTAGCAATCTGATCGAACGCCGCCCGGGGTGACGCTGGCATATAGTAAGTTAAGTTTTAATTGTCCTGGAGGTTTATTCTCTGGGACGGAGGAATCGTCTCGCAAAAAGCCGACACAACTCGAGGTTGAGGAGCGTTCTACCATACAAGTGGCGACGGAAGAGGAAAAACGGGGGGTAAGAGGGTAGCGGGGGGGGGGGGGGGGGGGGGGGGGGGGGGCTTCAGTTCCTTTCCCCTCCCCTTTCCAGATATTTCGGACTGTTAAAGAAAACAATACGGGGAAAGAGGGCGTGGTCGAGCTTATTTTAATCTGAAATTATTTATGCATATGTACAGCTACTGTCGCTCTTCACTGCATAAAAGATTGCGTAGATGGTCATTGTTAGAAACTCGTTGTCAGAAGGCACTACTCGTCACATGCTTAGTGGTTCGGAAGTTCAAAGCTGTCTCTTCGACCTAAATACCTGTGCCAATAGTAAAAAAAAAAAAAAAAAAAGAAAGAAAAAGAATAAATGCGGGGATAAAAAGTTGGAGAAAAAAAAAACTATCAAGAATTCGCCGGAAGTGTTGTATTCTTGCGTATTCAGAGGTTCAGAACTTCGAAACAAGTTTCTTTTACCAAAATGTGTACAGGCTAAAAGTAGAAACACGTCCCAGGATCGTGAAGCGAAAAAAAAAAAAAAGTTTTCTTTCAATGACGTGCTGAACTTGAACACTATTAGAAATCTTCTCCCATGAGTTAATTTATTCCTTAACGTGAAAAAACAATAAATACATTATTTTGTATTCTGCAGATGGCAATGATAAGTTCTGTCTGTGATGTTAATTTAAATGCGATACCTCAAACAACTTAGACAAAAATAAATATCAAGTTTAAGGCATAATTGCATGTAGATACATGTTTGGACATTCCTTCGAAACTCACGTTGAATAACAATAATCACATCTTAAGACGGCACCTACCTAGGCTATACATAGATCATTCTTTAAAAAAAAATATAACATCTCTACCACAAATAGCTTCGGCTACAGCGCGCTTCAAATCTGGCACAAACGATAATCATCAAAAACCCGTCGTCCTTCCTCGCCCCTTCGGAAATTTATTTCGTTAAAACTAAGCATGCCAGAACATTGAACCAAACGCCATCGTCTTTCGTAAGGAACGAAGCACCGCGTGTAAAAGTTCGAGAAAAAAAAAAAGCTACGAATGTACCTCACTACTTGAATTCAAATGAAACCGTCCGCTGGTCTTTCGAAGTTCGACGAACGTCGAACTTTTACCCGAAAGGTTCGAAGTTCGTCGAAATTCTGACTTTTCAGAATTCGAAAGTTCGAAACTTTTCGGATTTTCTTGATAAATAAGTTCGAAAGTTCGAAATTCATTGAATTTTTTGGTCAGTCAAGTTCGGAAGTTCGACAAGCATCGAACTTTGCAGCGCAATAAATTCGAAAGTTCGAAAAAGATCGAATTTTTTAGCATAATAAGTTCGACGGTTCGAAAAGCGGCGAACTTCTTAGCTCAAGAAGTTCGAAAATTCGACTTTTGTCGAATTTTACGATGTAGACAATTCGAAAAATCGAAATCTTTCGAACCTTTCGAACCGCTTGATTCGATCATCGAAACTTCGATTCGAAAAAAGTTCGCGGCATCCCTAGAAAATATATCATACTGTAATTTTCCCTCAATATTAAAGACACACAAAATAAATCATTGAACTTCCAAAAAAGTATTTTAAGTGCACAGAGAGGACACATAAACCCCTAAATAAACTTTTCCCGGAAAACAAAATCATGCGAGATTTACGTCGAGAGATATCTTTCGAGAATTAGAAGCAATTATGAAAGATAATTTCACTTCCAGACGTCAATCCCGAAATGGAAGTATTGGGATAGGTTCTAGGAGATACTAAGCTCAAAAAATTTATTCTGAATAACTAAATAAAACGTGAACGACAAAAAAAAATCCAAGAAAAAAAATATTTGTATTGTGAAACTTATTTTTAAGTTAAGAGTGATTCTGAAACCTCCTAATTCGAGACTTCGACCTTGAAATAGAAACATTTTTGGGAATCGCTGAAATTAGTCTTGCGACGCAAGTGTTGCGCTAAAATCATTCATTTTCGGAGACATTTCACGTTGTGACGAAATTGTCCAATCCATGGGCACTTAAGAAATAAGTATCTGTGTACTTCACTCCACTTTTAATGAATACCGAAATGATAGATCATGATATATAAAGGCAAAAACTACTTGCTGCAAATATTTTTCCAAGCTCTATGTTTATAGATGAAGGGAAAGTAAAGAATTGATTGATTGACTGATTGATTGATTAATTAATTTAACATTCGTGTATTGATTGATCTAAGAACTTATTAAATCGTGTATTGATTGATTGATTGATCGATCTATTGATTGATTCATTCATTCATTCATTTATTCATTCATTGCATTTCGTGACATACTTCACCAAAGTAAACTAAGGCTAATACTCGTGCCACACGTGCAACTCGAATGCCATATACAACGAATGACATTTGAACGATCGGCCAATGAGCGCGCGACGCTCCAGGCGTGGCGCATTCCAGGCGCTACAGATCGCGAGCCGACTCGTCGATCACACGAATGTCATTCGTTGTAAATGGCATTCGAGTTGCCCGTGTGGCACGGCTATTACATTCTAGCTTAACATGCAGGCTGTTCATCTATCGACCAGCTGGTCCCAGAGATGGTCGTGCATCAAGATCACTTTTCGCGGCCAACAATTGCTACGTGTCCCTGCTCCAAGAAAAAAGCGATGAATGATCCTATCGTCCAGCAGGCAGCTTTTTGATGCACTTCGTCGATAAAGAAGTTACAGACTTTCAAGGAATTCGTCCGAACTGGCTTTAGAAAGAATATGTGCTGGATATCCTGAGCATATCGGAATAACATTTATTTGGTTTAGGCAAATTTTAGTCAGGAACTTGTTTTTCTTCTTGTTTTGCTTTTTTGATGTCGCCGTGGGCCAAATTGTAAGGCTGCAGGGCCATGCCAAGTGAAATCTTTTTACTTTTTGGCCCTGCAGCCTACATCAACCACTGATGAGAAATAAAGTATTGATTGATTGATTGATTGATCGATTGATTAATAAACAAACAATTCTGCCAATCATTTCCTCAGAAGTGTGGTGTCAGTGGCATCTTGAAGCCAAGTAAGCGATCTCTGTCCTGTCTTACGTATTAAAAGCAAAAAAAAAAAAAAAAAAAAACACTAAAATAATTTATTGTTACTTTTATTTTTTACAAAAAATTGTATTTACGCTGTCAGGCGCAATTTCGGTGGGGGCAGCCCCCATCTAGGCCGCGCCCGGTGATTACAAAACTAAGTACCGTTTCTCGCCTCTCATGTGTGGAAAAGATGACTGACGTGTGAAATGTTCGTTGTAAAATTGTTTTTCCGTGCCGCAATAGTATTAATATCAACAATATATGTTTGATGGTTGACAAAAAAAAATAATCCAAGTAAAGGTCATTAATGCTTTCAAAAATATTCATAAACTGACTTTCCGCTTCTGGTTCAAACGAAAAGAAACATGGCTGCCGGCATTTGCGGCGTGCTCAACGAGCCTAGCTCGTTGAGTTCGTTTATTTTTACGTGTGCGAGTCGTTCTGCGCACACCGAGGTGTCTAGAGGAACATCTCTTCAATTGACTCAGTTTGCAGCAAACTGCCGCAAGCACGAGCCCTCAGAAGCGCTGTGCCGTTGCTTGAGTTCGTAGCGGGACTTGCCTGAGCATAGCGTCTCACGTGAACTATGTTGCATGATCTAGCTTGATTTGTTCCTTTGCGCGTGTGGGTAATAAATAAAAATGTTGATTCCCGTAAAAGCGGCCCCGCTGAGCTGTGAATCGTACAACCGTTATGAATGCAACCATGGTTTAATACCGATAAGATGTCCACACAGGTAAGGTGGGACAACAGCGCCTCGTGCGCATACACGGTTGACTCTCTCCTCCCCCTCACCCCCCCCCCCCTTTTTTTTCTTCTCAACTACAACGCATACAACAACAACAGGTAAGACAATCGGACGTTCGGCTCACATCAAATTTGTCTATGCTCCCGTAATATCGCTTCGAAAGTATTGCAGTGCACCTGGCCTAGCAAAGCGACTATTCTTACGTTGCGTTTTAGTCGTGCGTCGTGACGCTCTCCCACCTTGCTCGCGGATAACATGTGAAACAAAAAATACCAAGGATAGTAAAGGTGAAAGGACTGCATATTCATATTGTTGATTTTTTTTAGTCCTCGATCGCTTATTACTAGAGGCCGGATGTTTAGGCCCTAAAAGAGCCACCTTTAGGCGCCTATAAAAGGCACTAAAAACTTCGTAATGGGCATTTATAGGCACAATCAGTTTTTATTCAAAAGGTGCTTTTGAAAGCATTTAAGGCCTCTGCCCCCCCCCCCCCCCCCCCCAATTCAAGGAAATACAGAATAAAGTGGTACAATAGGAATTGCAATTCAATTTGTTCAACATTTGAAAAAAAATTTGACCTAAGCCCACACCGGTACTAAGCTGTCACATGCCGTACATAGTCGAAATAGAAACAATGGGAAAAATTATGAAAACAATAGCAAACAAGCACCATAGATTCTTGGGTTCAAACTTCTGTCGCTTAGAACCAGTTTGTACTTTGAAAAAGAGCGTTACACGTCAACTGATTTCAGTGGCGCGTACTTGTAGTTAGATATACTCGATGCTTCCACACTCTTCAATACCCTGGAGTGCTCCCCGGTGAGAACCTTCGAGACTTCTTTGAGTACAGACACCCACTATTTTTGCTCAAGACATACTGAAGCTTTGAACGAACTTGTACGGCAGCTGGGCCTGCGGGGACGGCGTCGACTCGTTCTTGAACGTTCGAAATGAGCCCGATGTTCCGAGCCAGAGTTTCGCCAGCACTTTCGAGGCTCTTGTTGGTGCCCGCCAGAAACGTCAAATTGGAGCACAAATACGCCAGGTCACCTACGAGAGTGTCCTCGCACAGGACATCTTGAGCCTTTCTGACTGAGACACTATCGTCTGCTGGAAACCCCATCTTCACACCAGCAAAGTTAGTACTTGCTCTAAAGCTTTAAGCTACGTTCCCCATCGCGTCACAGTGGGTTCTGGTGGTAGAGGCACCCCTGGTAGCTGTTCCTTAAATGAAAAAACACGAGCGGTGACTTAAGGAACACAGCCTTCACAGCAGCAACGAGATCGTTTACATGCTTCAAGTGTTTTCTTCGCTCTTCGCAAATGCGGTTAATGCCGTGGGCAAGACAGGTAACGTGCAACATCAGCGGGTAGAAAGCCTTCAGGAGGAGGGAAGCTTTGTGCATATAAGCCGGCGCACCCGTGTAAAATAGCCGCAACCTGCTGTCTTCCAAGCCAGTAGGGTATAGCACCTTCAAGGACATGGCGACAAAGTACACCACGGTCTCCCCATTTGTTCTCTATCTCTATAGAGTCTTGAAGCACACAAGAAAAAGCGTTGTTCTCTCGCCTGCTACGAGCTTCCCAACTACGAGGTGTGCGACAAAGCGTCCAGTCGCATCTGTCGTTTCGTCTATGGAGACACAAATGCACGAGTCCCCAAATTTATCTCTGATTTTCTTCAATGTTTCCTCGTACATGGGCCGGAGGTAGTTCTTGCGCAGTGTCGACTCCGACGGTACAGTATGACTGGGGTATTTTTGTCGGAATGTTTTGAAAACTGGATTTTTTACTTCCACTCAAGAAATATGAGCGGCGACTAAGGCTTCGCACAAGTCTGCGTGGAATGCGTTCTTCTTTCCATCCGTGAACTTTTCTCTCAAAAGTGACTTCCTAGACGTTGATGGCACGTTGCGTTCTGCGTTGGCTTGATGTCCCGCTGTTTTTTCGTGTTGCGCTAGGTGGCACTTCTTCTCACATGGAATCTGTGAAAAAACAACATTTCGATATGTTGAAAAGCGTAGTGCGCCGTCCTGAACAAGGATGGCTTTAAGCAATATCTTCCTAATACCTCTAAATATACCGACACTTATAATATATGTGTTTTACAATGGTGAAAAAGCTTACTCCTTGTGCAACTTCTTCAGGTTTTAGTTTAGCATCAGAGCACACAGCTGCCATACGCTCCGCTGCCAAAGTTCACTCTTGCGAGACTATCTGCCGCTAAAGTAACAGAGCGCAGGGCTGTCGGGTGAACAACGAATTCGCGCCCAAATTGGGTGTGTGCTGTTTATGGGGGGCATCGTGAGATGCTGCACACTATTAATCTCTCTAGAGTTGGTTCGCCGATTATGTCACGCGAGATAAGGGGTATTTCATTTGCCTCGCCCCCAGCGTGAGTTTCAACGGTACACGCCCAACCAAAGCTTGACGGGAGGCAACAAGCACGTACTGGAGATCAGTAATCCCATACAAAGACACTGTGCGTTTTTTTTATATCTTGTTACTGAGTGTAGTTAATTTATTCATTAAAATTTCAATTAGCGTCACGAAGTTCGTGTGACTCTTTTGGTGGTCCCTCTCCGGAACGTCACGGAGATATTTTTTTGGTAATGGGACCTAATGGCTGAGGTAACTTCAAATATTTTTTCGGCTTGGTCTTTGAATGTCGTGCGTACAGTTTAATTCGTGCGATCCTAATCTCACGGGAACAAGGTCGCTTTTCTCAGTATGACTTCACGGAGACGACACAGCAACCAATCAGCAGGCTGCAACTACAGCAACGGTTGTGCTCGTTCTTGGGGCTAATAGATTTCGAAAAACTGTGCTTTACCGGTATCCGTCGGATAAAGAATTACTTTAAGTGATTTGAAGAGTTACGCCAGTATTCAGGAAACTCCTGTATCACAAATGTATGTGCCTGTCTCGGCCCCGCGGTTAGGGGAGACAGTTTTGTAGAGGCTTGTGGGACTTAGCGGAAAAAATTCTTCAGCAGCCCATAGACGAGTAAACCTTTAATTAAATAAATACATCTATATTATCTCTTTAATAAAGATTCGGGTGTTTTTCTTGGTTCATAATGTACGAACGAATGACGTTTTAGCGATTAGAAAATATTTGAGCGGACGAACGTTTTTGCGAATGCCATTTTAGCGAATCGGCTGTTTTTCGGCGGCGACGAGCTAGGCTTCTATACTGGCACGGTTACCTATCGCTGTCGATCAGGGAACACGAAGCTGCCATGCGCTACAGCGTCATTCGATGAAACGTCGTGGTTTCGTTTTCGTTCGCTAAATCGTCGTTCAAGTTTTGGTTTTTCTCCGAAACAATGTACCTAAGGGTGTCTTCTTATCTGCTTTCCACACCGGCGACACAAGACCATATCCCCGTCGGTCGAGTAGCAAAGAAAATGTTACGTCCATTGCCGAATCAGCACGCTCTTTGGGACCACCTTTTTTTTGGCATTGTTGAGAAGCTTCAGGCCGGAGGCAATCAATTCGTCGAACGACGTTTCATGGACAAATCGTTTCGTCGACACTGCGATGTTTCATCGACAGATCGTTTCGTGGAAACGAGCCGGTGCTCGTTTCATCGACAGATGTTCCGACGTTTCGTCGACAGCTCGCTCTGCAAGCTCCGCCAGCTGCGCCTCCTCGCGCGGCCTTGTGTTGGATGGATGGATGGATGAAAGATGGCCTACTGGGCCAAGTATGGCGAACCAGTGCGCAGCCATCTTGCCTCACCAATTTAAACTATCAAAAATTTTTTTTGATTATTATTATTTTTTTTTTTTTTTTGAGGGGGGGGGGGGGGGGGGGGGAGCTTGCCAATTGCACTGATTTCGGAACTTACGATTTGAATGGTTTCGCTCGTGTCTTTGCCCGAACCTTTGGGGAAGCGTTGTCAAAGCCGGGAAGTTTTGTTATCGACCAGTGTCCTTTCTCAAATTAGATTTTTAAAACATTCAACAATATGCGCA